CCTTATATCTGGATTTAGTGATTATTGGCATATATCAGTGAGGAGTGTCTGCAACTTCGAAAGAAGTGATTCCCCCTCGGAAACTGTAATCCACATCACCCAGTGCCGTAGTCAGAGATGTTACCAATGAGCCGTTGAGGCCCATGACTGACCTCCTTTAGGGATGTAATTCCTTCAAGTTTGCAGATACACTCTTGTGACCAGTGCTAGTAAGCAAGGGACCTAAGTTCGTAGCTTCCCGTGTATCGCATCCAAGTATCTTCATCAGGTAAACAGTATAGTTACCAAAATACGTAGTGAGAAAAAGCCCCGTTCCTATATAATAAAAAATGCAAACATTTAATTCCATTGTGGGTAAAATTTATTTTGACAAAGTTTCACACGGTTATACAGTAATATTTACAGATGACCACGTTTCGAGCACAATTTATTGCTCATAATCATATCGTTACTCACACAGCTTTCTAACTTCGTTTATGTAATTCCATCATTATTTTTCATCACTTAACTTGATTGGTAGTAGTATTTTCCATATTTCCGGTATGAGTGATGAGTCATTCCTATTGGGTGTGTTTGGTGTAGACTCGATGAACAAGGATTCATGTTACATGAAATTCTAAAAATATTGTTTCCCAACACTGAGTATTATAACTTAGTCGCCTATACTTGATCATAATGTTGGATTAGCTTGTCAGTGATTATAAATATCCAGACGACAGACATTACGAATTCCCTGGGATAACTTGAGCACCGAGTCAGACTGAATCATTATAAATTACTGAAATCAAACAAGTTAGTTGATTTTTTTTAAACACGAAGGGATTATTTTATCATTATTATTCCCTTGGGTTCTGAGTGGAACACAGGCCTTCAACAACACATTTCTACTTTCCTATATTTTCTGTTGTCCTCTTCAGCTGCTTGGGTCCACGATTACCCATAATCTCTCACCCCCTTCTCCTCCTCCTCCTAACACGATATCCTCCATGTCATCCTCGCACTCACGACACACCCGTCGCTTCCCATTGGGATTTCACTCGAGCGATGGCTTGCACTACGCGTCATGCCATTCGACGGCTTCCTCAATGGCGTATGCTCGATCCATCTCCATTTTCTTCTACATATTTGTTGAGCAATTGGTTTTCGCCTGTTGGTCTGCTCCCAGTCAGAATTTCTTGTCGCTATTTCTTTCTGACCGGTCAGCCGGCTGGCCATCTGATCTTCACTATGGAACCAGCAAGCGAAGGTAGCTGTTAATAAGGGTCTGTAATTAGTTGGAAATACTTTTCGTGACTGACACGCAGTGCAAGTTTCTGACCCGTATAGAAGAGGTGACTGACTGACCTCACGTTTGTGTTGATAATCTGAATCTTGTTGTTTATGCTGGCTGACTAAGTGCAGAAGATTTCCAAACTGGTTCCAGGTCGATGAAGGTGTGTTTTGCCTTTCTGATTCTGGGTGGCTGGCTGGCTTTGACATCTTCATCCGTGCTGCCCAACTGCATGTGGTTGAAACTGTGCTACCTAGCTGGATAAGTGAAGGAAATAACCGGTGTCAAACCTCTCCCGTTGATGGTTATTGGTGCTAGTTGTTTTTGTTGTTGGTGGTGGTTAGTTACCTTCACCACCTCCGTCTTCTCTATGTTCACCTTGAGTCCTGTCTTCGCTGCTCGCCACTAACGCCAGATTATTGGTTTTCGAATGAAAGTCTTCGAATCTTTGTCACATTAAACATAAATCATCCACACGCGAAATCTAGATCTTCTAGAGTCTTCTTATCGGTCCAGAATATTCCTGTCTTCTCACTCCCAACACACGGTCGCATGTATAAGTAGTTTATAACTACCAATGGTTGTTCAAGGAAAGCTTCCAGTGGTCACTAACTAATTCCATTAATTGCCATTAAACGATAAACAAATTACTATTTTGATGTGGTTGTGTTCTCTGAGCTGGATAGTTTATTTGCGAAGCTTTCATAATTGCCCTACTAGGCAACATCTTCAGCGCATACTTCAATTTGTTGAAGTGAGCTTTTGGATTTCTCCACGAGTTCATTAGTCATCTCTCCTGGTGAACTTGAATGTGATTGGTTCTTTTTGTGTGTTTTCACACTTTCCAGGCTACTTGTATTGGAACTGATTGTTTCCTTGACTTGAAGTTTGACGCTCTGTGTGTGAGGTTTCTTTCTTATCGGTTGATAAATTTTTTCTGTCTCTATGTGTCAATTGATTGACGATTCACTGGAATACCAAGCAGCCTTCTAAAAATTCTCTAGCATTCTTGGTGTTTCCTCTGTCTAATATTTGAACTTTGTCCCAGTCGAATTGATGTCCGTGGTTGTCTGTATGTAGTGATATGAGGGAGTGGATATCATGTGTTTTGACGGCTAGCTTATGATCATGGATACAAAGACGAAGGGGACGTCCACTTTGGCTAATGCAGTGTTTTTCGCAGTTGATACAATTTATTTTGTAGATGATGTTGGTTTTATGTTCTTTCGCTGTTGAGTATTTTCGTTGACATAGAATTGAGTGAAGTGACTTTGTTGGTTTGTGTACGACGTCAATTCCTAAAGGTTTGACGAGTCTTGTAGTGATTTCTGAGATATCCTTTATATATAGTAAGGCGATTTTCTTTGTGCTTTCCTTGGGGGCTTTTGGTTTGATAGGTTGGTTTGGGGGTATATGTCTTTTGATGAAATTCCGTGGATATCCATTCTTTTGGAAGACGTCCATGAGATATCTTTCTTCAATTTTCCTTAAGGTGGGAGTGCTGCAATGAGTCCTGGCCCTCTTGAATAGTGTTTGTATGCAATTCCTCTTGTGCGCTATTGGATTGTTGCTGTTGTAATTCAGGATTTGGTCTGTGTGAGTTGATTTCCTATAGACTTGAGTTTCTAATTCCCCTGTGGTTGTTCGCTTGACTAAGACGGCCAAAAATGGGATTTGGTTTTCTGATTCATCTTCTCTCGTGAATTTGATGTCGTTGAAGACGTTGTTTATCAGGTTGTAAGCTTTATCTAACTTGTTTCTTTTGATAATTACAAATGTGTCGTCTACGTAACGTATCCAAATCTTGGGTTTGATCTCTGGTAGAATTATGTTTTCGAGCCTATGCATCACTGTTTCTGTAATCAAACCTGATATTGGCGATCCCATAGTTGTTCCTTTGACTTGTTCATATATTTGGCCGTTGAATTGGAAGCACGTTGTTAGACATAGGTTTATGCATTCCATCCAGCTTGTGTGTTGCATTTTTGATTGTTGTAGAAGGTGTTCGTCGTTGCTAAGTAATTGCTATTATTTATCATACTGTATTTTTCACGTGACATACCAGCTACTGGAATAAATTATTTATTATTGTTCCTCTGGGTATTGATTGGAACATAGGGATTCAGCGGCATATCTCCATTTTATCCTGTTCTCTGTAGTTATCTTTGGCTGGTCCCATGACTGACCTTAAGCATTCATTTCCTCCCCACATGATGTTACCTTCGCACCCATACCCAACTCATCGTTCCCCATTCAAGATCTGCACCAATGTCACTCAGTGGTGTCCTCAGCGTATGTTCAATCCATCTGCATTTCTTTCTGCATATTTGTTGGGCCCCAGGTTATCGGCTGGTTGATTAACAGAGTTCCTTATGGCTAATCTCTTATGGCCAGTCATCTGATCTGCAACATGGAACCAGCTACAGCAACTTTGAAGATGTTGAATAGACTCTTTGGCGGTTCAAAAGAACGCTATTAAAAATTACTGGCTTTTTAAAATTTTATTGCAGCTTCTTGACTCCAGTCAGTCCGTTCCGCCGGAAATCGAGTGTGGCAACATGCGCAAGGCTCTCATACTGCACACGTATGATCCACGAAGCATGATGGCCAGAACGTGTGTGTGAGAGAGATTGAATCAGCAGTTGCATCTGACTACAGCCGACAGCTGTTCTAACTTATCCAAGCCACTGCTAGCGAGAAGCTTGGTGTATGCGAAACGGTCTGTGAGACAGGTAATTAGGAATGAACTAATACAACTCTAATACCACAATTTTAACAAATATACAGCATACAATATATGCTTACTGATGCTCACTACCAACTGGCTCTATTCAAGTAGGTAGTTACCTGAGTTCTAGTGGGAAGTCGTGACAGGCCGTGGGGTACAATAGGGCTAATTGTCGCATTAATTTTCTCTTTAATCATATCCGATATTCAATTCAGTATTACATTTTCATGCATACTGTCACCTAAACTTATGCTTTTGAACTGTAATTCCCGATTATCTTAACAACTACCCTCTAAATATTATGTGCAGATATTATGTGTAGAGCTAAATGAAAAAGTTATCGAAGAGAATACGCCTAGCTCAATCTTTCTTTTTGATCTCCTGATTGATGATTGTGTATAAGGTTGATAAATGCTCATGTTTATTCCCCTATAACAGCCATTAAAAGTCACACCACACACTCACTCAAGAAGGCTAAAGAAAAACTGGCTAATGTTATGTTGTGAATCAGCAAGTTAGAATTCATGGGCTGGCCATTGGATCGGGTCCCAGGGGCTTTATGGTCTACGAGCTCGCTAGCCTTGTAACCAGAAGGTCTTGGGCTTCAAACCTTGGTGGTGGTGGGTGCCAAATGTCGATGAGTACCAAAGTGGGGGGGACTCCCAGGTGTCCTAATGGTTCCCTAACCGATGTCAGCTCATGATGAAATCCTCCACAACCAATCAAAACAAACCCCCCCCTCAAAAGCCAATACTTGATAATGCATTATGATAATAATAAAGAAAACGCAAATCGGCTTTTGTTTATTGCAAAAAAAGGGATACAAAAAGAAAGAGGAAGAGAATTCAAAATGAAAGACATTTTCCCTAAACATATCACAATAACACATGCTGCAATATTTATATAACACAGCAGCAGAGAGTTAGTTTAACAGGAGTATTTTGTTCAGTTTCCTTCAGAGAAAAAAATAACCAATAAACAAACAAACAACAATTAGTTAGTGGTATTTTGTAATACAAAGACTACAAAGACTCAAAAAGAGCTCAATTATCAATAGCCGATGAAAATATGAGATATGAGAAGAGGAAAACAAATATATATATATATAAACCTAAAATGTACAAAACTGTGATTCCCACTTGTAAGGCATCATCTATCATCATAATATTTATACAGTTATCTTTAATAGATATCTAACTCTGGCGAGTTATTAGGTCGTTGTGCTATTTTTATTATGACGGTTATTATTGGAGACCAGTTTGGATAACGGCAATTTTCTATTCTGTATCACATAAATGAACAGCGATCTGAAATGAAAAAGAAAATAATAGTAATAATAATAAAACATGTATAAAAGTACAACACCCACACATATCTGGGCTGCAGTGGACAACACTTTTTGTTAGGCCATCAATGGTTCAGGAGTAGAATGCATCGTCCTTCCACCAGCCGGCTGACACACTAATAATAATAATTTGATTTATTCCAAAACAGTACTTGTGATACAGAATGGAATTCTCAGCATTTTTACTACAGTATTGCATCCAGTTAGTACATTATCAATAAAAATAGGATTCTACATAGATTAAGGAAATCTCAGTTCATTGTGACAACAACATATTGGCGTGTCGGTAGCAAAGCCGAAATCGAACAGAATGTTTGAAGGTGTTAGAAAAGTAGGTGCTGTCATATTTACTGGCGTAAGCGGAAGAAAGAAACAAAGCAGCACATAACGGAAAAAAAGAGAGAGAAAAGAAAACGAAAGAAAGAAAATGTTGTACCTATAAATGGTATGGGTTGGAAAGACGAGATCCAGTTGTTCTACTGACTGTTTAATAAGTTATAGGTATCACGCCTAATGCTTTCTTTGTCGCACAGAACACGAGATAAGTAGGGTATGGTTGAGTTTTTGTACTTGCTAGTGCAAGCATATAGTTTTCTATATAGGCTTCTGGTTTTGCCTGATGAGATACAAGGGGAGAGTTGTGAGTGAAGAGGGTGGTGTGACTTAGATAAAATGGATTTGGCCCATTTTTCACATGAGTCCATGTGCCTGTCAACCAGAATATTAACAATCTGGTTAAGTGGCACATTGCTTACCCTGCTGACAACCTTTAACATCCTGCGTAATATGTTACAATCTTTCTTCAGTAGCCCGGGAAAAACTAAGGGGGAACAATAGAGAATAATAGGCAGAATGCGACAGTTAACGAATTGTAGGAGTAAGGGTTGGGTTATACCAGAATGTTTTAACTTCTTGATGTAGAACGTAAGACGGAATATTTTCTTAGAAATTGCTAAGATATGAGACGACCAGGAAAGATCAGCAGACAGAATGACACCTAGGTATTTAATTTCTGACTTGGTTTCTATTTCAGTGCCATCTATGTTGCACACCTCGTGAGAGCCTAAAGGTGAAATTGACTGTTAGGCATTTGGAGGGGTTTAAGGTGAGACCGTTTTCCTAGGAACACAGGCTGATTTCTGATAGAAAGCCACTTAGTTTGGAGCAGTCACTTTGAAATTTGACAGGCAAAGATACAGTCAGATCGTCAGCCTATTTGACAAAATTAATGTCATTTGAAGATGGTAAGTCATGTGGAAAGAAAGAAAAGAGAAGTGGGGAGAGTACAGCACCTTGGGGGACACCAGCTTCAGTGAGCGCAGCAGAGGAGGATTTACCTTTACTAAACCTCGCCAAGCCAGTAGTAAGCCCGATTTAAAAGAAAAGCTTAGTTGTGTGGCTGACTGACTGACTGGTTTCAACATAGAACTTTGTACAGATGTACAGCACTTCGAGTTCTCACACTCCATTTAGAACACATAGCAAGAGAAGAGAGTAAGGAGAGATTCAAGAGAGAGATAATAAATAGAAGTGGGAGTGAGGGAAATAGAATAGTAATATAGAAGAGCTACAAATTTGCATTAGTTATCACAAATCACAAAGAGTGAATGCATCTACGCCAGCTAGTGACAACGATTTTGAGCTATATCATCAACTTTCTCTAGCCTTCATTGGTTCTTATCATCCCGAGGACCTCAACCAGGAGGTTTACACTTCCCTACGTGGCTTAGACTAACTGTTGAGGATTTCGTTGACTGAGACGACGTGCTAGTTCTTTTCCAACCTGATCAATCTTATGTCAGCTGACATTGCCCGTCGAGGAAGGCGACGGCTAGGCTAAGCACATGTCCTAACCATTTTAATCGATGTAACTTCACAATGTCGCTGATTGATTTCCTCTCCTTGTCTAGCACTCGATCGGTGCCTAACCTCAGTATAGCTCACCCTACTATACCACCTAACACGGGAAAAAGAACACAGACACCTATGATCAAAGACAGCTAGCCAGCCTTTTCATGTCTTCCACTCTCGATGGCTGCTATGACTCACTCAAAGCCATAAAGGAGGACACAGCGAACTTCTGAGCAGTTGTGTGGCTAGTAATCCAATCCCATAAAAACACAACACAAGCCCTACCTACCTGAAACGTTCACATGGAACGTGAAGGAATGTAAAATAAAACACTGATATGTAGACAGATAATCAATCAATGGATTATCATTTATTGGTGTATATGATGATGATCAAGGTCAGTCTGGAAATAGGCCAATCAGAATTGACCTACATAAAACAACACCCACTACTTTATTGACCAGCATTACACACTCATTGAAACATACTTGGTGATTTTCTGAATCATACATTATTGTGTAAAATATACCGTGGCTGATATTGGAATGTCCTTTTCGGCTCACGTTACTGTATGTTCTCACCTAAGCAGAGAAGGCTGGAGAATAGGTAGCTGTTGTATAGATGTTGTTGGTGTAGAGTTAAATGGTATTCGTGATTAGCACTCGGCGTCCCTATTCCAATCTCAGTTTTATTGCGAAATATAAAAATAGTGACACCCCTAAAAACTAGCTTCCCATATAAGAAAGAATGACCTCTCTGTAAATCCATGAGTGATGAATATCGATAACATAACTATTGCCTGACCGATTAGCTAGCTAGCTCTTCAGCACTCACATCAGTATTTTTGCTACTGCTGCACTTATATTTTGTTCTTGATTACGAGATACTACTTTATTATAGTAAAGTAGGTAGAATTATTATTATATTATTGTTTCCTTTAATTCCTAGAGGAACATAGGGCTTCAGCCACACGTCTCCATCCATTGCGTTCCGTTCTCTGCTAGAGTTTTCACCTGGCTCCAAGTCTGCCCACACGCTTTCATCTCCTCTTCACATGACCTCCTTCAAGTCACCCTTGGATGACCAACTCGCCGCTTCCCTTTCGGGTTCCACTCGAGCGATGGCCTGGCGTGTGATGTCACTTGATGGTTTGTTTCCTCAGAGTATGGCCAATCCATCTCCATTTCTTCCTGCCTATTTGTTGCACAATCGGTTCCTGGTTGGTTCACTCCCTGATATCCCTCCCTGTTGCTGATCTTTTCTGGCCATCTGATCCTGAGTAGTATTGAGCGAAGACAACTGTTAATGAAGGTCTGTAGTTTGTTTGAGATGCTCTTTATGACGCGCTGGCCAAGTCTCTGATCCATATAGTGAGTAGCACTGACTTCACATTGGAGTTGAAAATCCGGATCTTATTTTTGATGCTGAGTGTTGTTGACCTCCACACAGACTTGAGAGTAGTGAAAGCTTGTCTTGCTTTCCCGATTCTTGCTTTGATAACCTCGTCAGTTCCGCCTGTAGTTGAAACAATGCTTCCCAGGTAGGTAGAAGAGGTTGTTTCTTTCAGGTTGCTCCTATTTATGCTGATCGTTGGCTGTTGTTGTTGTTCTTGTCCAGGAATCTTCATTACCTCTGTTTTCTCTGTGTTCACCTGAAGTCCTATTTTTGATGCTTCTTCTACCAACTTGTTGCTTTTCGCTTGCATATCTTCCAGTTTGTGGGAAAACAGGCATATATCATCGGCAAAGTCCAGAACTTTCAAGTTTTTTGTGTGGGTCCAGAACAGCTAAAGGGAAATTATAAAACCACTGTGATCTTTGTAATTTGTCAGATAAAATCAAGATGTCAGTTCATAAGCCAATCAGTAAATACAGACTATCAATAATCTAAACACACTTAATTAACCGCTCAAAGTACTGTGTACCAATGATACTACTGATATTGCCCTAAAATGTCAAAAGTGCTTTCAAATTACTTTCATCGGACACTAACTAGTGTTATGCGCCTAGTCCTTTGTTTGGTGTAGACGCAAGACGTTACACTAATTAGTGTCCAATAAAATTATCCAATACAGTTCCACAAGATGTCAGTCGCGAGATCGAAAAGCCCAGTGGTAACGTCTTCGACTGCAACACCGGGTGACACGCGTTCGAATGTCGGAGGGGATATGAGTTCCTTGATGATTGCAGACACGCCTTGCGCTAGAGAGTACCAAAAGGCACGAAACTTACGTCAGACTGGGCTATCTGCTGATTGTCTCCAAGCATATAATAACAAGAGTGTTTTCATATTAAGTAACTAACTGCGGTTCAACCAAAACATGGCACCAGTCAATGAAATCTACAACAGTTAGTTTAAGCCAGCCAGCCACGTTGGAAGGTGTAGACTTCCTGACTGGTTGGGGTCCTCGGGACGGTAAAAACCAATGGTTGGAAACAATTGGTGATATGACTCAAAATCGTTCTCAAAGACAGCACAGATGCATCAACTCCTTGTGACTTATGATTTCCAATGAAACTGTTTTTTTCTTCGTTATTATTATTCTTTTGTCTCACACCTCTGTTTACTGTCTATATTATGCATTTCTCCTACTTTCTTCTCTTGCTTTGTGTGCTCCAAGAAGGGAGTGTGGCGACTTGAACTGCCGCACATCGGTGCAAAGTTCTATTTCGAATACAGACAGACAAACAGACTTCAGTTGGTGGAATGAGAAGTCGTGACCAATGAGGTCCAGTAAGTAAGGTATGAGGACAAAAATACCCACCGATGAAATCAGTTGGCGGTATCTGTAACTGATAGAAGTCAGAATTTATGGGCCATTGGATTCCATTCCAGTGGCTGCAATGGTCAGTGAGCTCATCTCGTAATCTGAATCCTTTTGGAGTTTGATCCCGGGGGGGGGCGACGGGTCATTAGTGAAAAGTGCTGAATAGTCACCAAGTAGGACTGACTGAATTCAGTCCATGAGCTAAAATGAAGACGTCAACTGAATCCGTGCAGATCTGATAAAAATGCTCACTGAGATTCTAGAAAAGCCATTCATGTTCATTCTGTATAATAATCTATTTAGGTCAATATTCCAGCAGGAAAACGTTAGTCGTAGGTTCGCGAAGAAGTATGACTTCCTCAGAGATTTACAGAGGCGTTTACGAAGCGGAGCCTCTGTAAATCTCTGAGGAAGACATACTTCGCCGCGAGCCTACGACTAACGTTTTCCTGCAAAAAGCTGTTCAACCAGAACGCGAAAGACATACTGTCAGCATTCTACATAAGATATCTTAACTGCGTCATAATTCATACTGTTTTCTATATTATGTGATTTAAAGTCACGAGAATTAATCCACGCACACACACACACACACAATTCCAAAAATGGTATAATATCAATCACAGAAAGAAACGTTATAATAAAACCCAGTTCTAGTTACATCGACTGTAGGTGAGAAAAAAACCTCCAGAAATTAAAAGCAGGATATTTATTCACAATACTTAAAATTAAATACTGATGCATTTGTGTAACCCCTACCTTGTTCTTGATCGTCATCCAAAGCCTCCTCACCAACTTCAAAACCTTCAGTTTCAGCAGCTGAATCTAGGTTCGCCTTGATTTTCTCTGCTTCATCCATTGAGAATTTTAACTGTTTCACAACAAAAAAGGAGAGGGAATTTTAAAAAAAACAATGAGATAAAAATAATTTGATTGTGATTATTTACATCAGATTTTTTTATTACTTTTTCCTTTCCGAGTGAAATGTAAAACTTCAAAGTTCGAGCTTTGAAGGTTTAATAGCGCTGGAGTTGTTTGTTGACGGGGTGTGGTTACTAGTCTCACGCCTAACCTTCCCCCTATACACCGGCCCTACTACCAGCTAAGCGAGATTAAGGAGGCCGTCGATCGGGAATCGAACCCGAACCACGTAAGACGTGGTTGGTGAGCATGGTCAAGTTAAACTTTAAGCACCACTAACTACCAATCAGCGAACGACCTCTAATGGTCCAATGAGGTTCATGCACGTGAGTTCAAGGTTGTATAGCGCTTGATTCGTATCAAATGCCTGCTCTAACGAAGTTACGCTTGCAGTATTGCCTGGATTCGGGGTTGCTTACGAAGGAGAGGATTTGTTCATGTGGTGGTGTGATGAGTTTAAAAAGCTTCAGTAGGTCGATTGATGGATATGTCCATCGTTGTGCAATTTGCTTGAGACGAGTTAGTATTAGAGAAGGTAAGCTGATAAATTTTAATATTTCGTAGGAACATTCTTTGCTAGGTCGCATCTCTCCTTAATGCAGATTTTGTATATTTGCAGCTACTGGGTTTTAAAACAGCCTGTGAGAGGCGCAGCTGCTGAAACCTAAAATAAGCTCGTGTCAACGGTTCAGTGGTACCATCACTACAGAGACATTACATCATGGAAAATGGAGAGAATTACTTCGTTGTTAGGCGGAGAAAGTATTGTCGTACACGTGGACTAAACTGTATTACCGAAGAAAAAATACAACCGTGGTCATGAGCAAGCCAACAATGTTTGGGTGATCGGTTTATATGACACCTCCCTGCGGAAAGGATTCATGGAGAGAATACCAGACAGAAAGCAAACTACTTTAATACCTATTATCACTAGACTTGTGAAACAGGGATCCATAGCACATAGTGATGAGTGAAAAGGTTATAACTCTCTGTCATCTCTTGGATATATTAATCACAGAGTGAACCATTCCAGTGATTTTGTCGATCCTAGTACGAGGACACATACAGATTCTATTGAAGGATTTTGGGGAAGACTGAAAAGTAGGATTAGGGCTATAAATGGATCTCAAAAGGATCGCATTTATAGTCATTTGGATGAATATATGTACAGAATGTAGTGTGACTTTTCTATTGACACTCCTATGCTGGGAGATGTTTCTGTCACATGTTAGAGAAAGATACCCTATGTAACAGTTTTATGCAGTTTTTATGCTTTTTTTCCATAAATATACGTTTTCCTTTATCAAAAATCCCTCTTTCATGTGATTGGTCCGTTGAAGGTCGTTTGCTGATTGGTAGTTAGTGGTGCTTAAAGTTTAACTTCGCCATGAGCATTCTGTCAGTGAACCACCCAACGCACTTACGTCAAACCAAAAGACGGAATATATTACAAACTGATTAAAAATAAACCGACCAATAAGGCTTTAGTAGATGAAAACAACTAGGTGGAATATACGAGTATACATACAACAATGCAGACGCAGGCATATATATATATATATCAAGTGTTAGTTTGTAGCGGTTTGACTGCTTTCACCTTTGATCACGGGTCAATATTAGCTTGTAGAACCGTTGAAAATCAAGAAGGAGTACTGGGCAGCTATTTTGTCCTTATTTGAGACTCTTCAGGGGCACGCACCCACCACCAGGGTTCGAACCCAAGACCTTCTGGTTACAAGGCAACCGAGCTCGTAGACCATTAAGCCACTGGGACCCGATCCAATGGTCCTTGAATTCTAACTTCTGCCAATTCACGACATAGCGCGACCATTTCGCAATGTCTTCTTCGATGACTTACTGCATCATCTTCAATCTGCTGTACCTCACTGGTCACGGCTCCCCACTAGAACCCAAGGTCACCGCGTACTTCTGAAGAGTCCGAAACTAGGACGAAACAGCTGTCTAGTACTCCCAGGTTTTCATGATGTCAGCTCATGATGAAATCCTCCACCCTAACAAAATTATCACAAATTTAGTAATAAAGCACAATTAGGAGTGAAGTAGGAAACCGCTTTTTAACAATTGGTGTGTACTGAATTGATGATGAATTAAGAGATTGAAATTGAACAAACGGTATAATATCGTCGATGCAGTGTGGTATGAAAACGTAAACACACGCGACAGATTGATGTAATAAGTCAGCATTAAACTCAAATTTTAATCCTTGAGAATAGGCGTAGAGTGTTAAGTAAGGAGAGTAAATCAGTCGATAAGGGGGTACGATGCTACATCAATTGAGATGGTTAAGATATGCGTTACATAAAGGAAGACATATCCTTTCTCGTCAAACAATAGGTTAGTTTACTTAAGATTAGGTTGGAAAAGAGTTAGCGGTGGTTCAATCAAAACATGAAATCAATTCATGAATTCATCGACTTTGCTTGGAGCCAGATAGCCACGTAGGGATGTGTAGACTACTTGGTTGGGTCTTCAGGATGCTAAGAATCAATGGCTTGAGACTGCTAGTGATGCGTCTCAAAATTGTTCTCAATAGGGCAGATGCATTCACTATCTGTAATTCCCTAGATCCTTTATATCCTCAGGTATTTCTAAGTTGTTCCTCTTTCTCTTGTACATTTCTTCTCGTTATTGTTATTTTGAATCTATTTCTTTCTCTCCCTTTTGTGTGCTATATGGAGGCAGTGTGGCAATTTGAACTGCTGCATTTCTCTGGGAAACTTCTATATTGGAACTCAGACACACAGTCAGACAGGCAATCCTAGTCTTAACATATTTCAGAAACATAACACTTATCATTTCAAACACAGGAAAGTTATCCACGATGGTAATGAGCCAAGGGAACCACCTTATTATGCAGCGGGTATCGAATACTATTTTACTGAAACTTGTAAATCTCCTATTGTTAGTTTCATTGGATCAAAGTGACCAACCACAGTCTACGTCTGCACATTGACTCCAGAACAACGGAAGTCTTCTTTTTATTTATCAAGTAAAAGTATCATCTCTAGGTGTCTGTTCTAGAAGCCAATACACCAATAGAGATCAATCAATCAATCAATCAACCAAACATTAACAACAATGCGGCATTCAAAAAAACAACAACAACCAAATGCATCAAAATAAAAAATTAACCACTTACTTCTTCATATAAAATACTACGATTCTTGGGGTTTGAATCACCTGAAAAAAAGGGATAAAAGGATTAAAGAAGGAGAATATTAATTTTAACAGATATGAGAGAATAACAACAAAGCTATGGGAATAACATGATCATGATCATGAGAGACAAAAAAGCACAGTTTTCATCTATACACTAAGAGTGCTCTATAAGGCAAATAATTACTTAGTACACTGTCGCTTTTATACTTCACATTTTTATTTACTTTTTTATGTGAAAATCACAATAGTTTCCTAACATCTTACGTAAGTTAAAGAACAGAATCAAAAACACGAAGATACACGAAGAGGAAAAGTAGATTATTGAGTTTTTGTATAATAGGAATAACTCAACATCTATCATGACTAATTGGAAAATCCTACTACTGCTACCTGATATATATATATATACATATATATATATATATATGAACATTCTATTTCATGTTGTTTAATGTAAACCGAAATCACACGCTCAGTGATTGGTTAAAGAATATATAACTGTATGTATACATAAATAGCGGTTTGATCACTTGAAAATATACCTTGGCTTCCGTGTCTTGCCTTCTTCTGTTACAGTAGTGTGTAAGAATAATATTCCGTTGGAACACATTGTCTGTATCACACCACCACACTCGTCCCCCCCCCCCCCATCAAATACTTTCGACTGAAGTCGGTTAGGTCTTCTTGGTGCTGGCGGTTTTGTTCACTTGTCTTGCTGTATCCACTTCCGGAGCTCACTGACGTTCTGATAGTCTATATGTGACTCCGTCTCACGATGACCATGTATGATCCTTCCCACTTCGGCAGCAGTTTGCCGGTGTTTCGGCTCACACTGTTATATGCTGCCATCGCCTGACCTCCAAGCAGCGTTCCAAGTGACAGCCTCATTGTTGACGGATCTTGAACGCCACTCAACAACTTCAAATTCCTGTCAGAAGATCCATGTGTCTCCTTCTTCAGAAACTGCAGGGCATATATATTACATATATATTCTGTCGCTAACGCAGTATTGAACTATGGGGATATGTGAGAATAATATTCCTTTGGGACACTTTGTCTGCATCACACCACTACACTATTACTACAAGTGACACATATGAAGATGTCGAAACCAGCTGGGATCAGGAAAGCAAGATAAAGCTTCATTAATCTGAAATCACTGTGAAAATTCGCTGCAGCCAGCCTAAGGAACAAGATTCGGATTTTCAACAATAACGTCAAATCAGTGCCCTTATATGGCTCAGATAAATGGTGAGTCACGAAAAGCATTTCCAACAGGCTACTGAAGGTGAGATGATCGAAAAGAATTAGCAACAAGGAACGCGCTATAAACAAAAACCAACCAAAAACCTATCGCGTAACGAATATGCAAAAGGCAACAGAGATGGATTGAACATGCTCTGAGCAGACCATCGAATGAAGTCCCATTCTAGTTTGGCCCTCGATGAGTTGTAAGCAGGTGAGAATAAGTGTAACATGAAGGAAATTGTGTGAGGAGCAGAAGGAGATCAAAGCTTATGATTGACAATTGTAGAGTCAGCGAAAAAAGACTGCAGAGAAGAGAGTGAAATGGAGATGTGCTTCTGAAACCTTGTCTTTCACTCAGAACACAAGGGAATAATAATAATAAATAATAGTAGTGAAAGTATCAAAATACGAAAGATTGGAAATGTCGTGCGACGTTCACAAATTGTGTAATTCTTCCAATATGATTAAACAGAATAAGTTCCGAATGAAACACCATTCATTAAATAATAGCCCATTCAGTGATTAAAGTGCAGTGAAGACCTGACTAGCATCTGAATCTCGTAGGATCAGTTATTTGAGCACCATAGACTGTTGAAGTTGATCTTAAACCAACTAGAGTTTCCACTTAGTCGTCAATCACCATTCAGCCAACCTAACGCTATATCAAGCAGCCCAATCAATAAAATCGTACTCATAACAAGAAAAGTCTGAAGGAACAATTGTTTCTAGTAACTTCCTCTTTTTAGGCTCTACAGTTATAAAACCATGAGAATAACTTCAATACAAAAGTTAATATAATCCAAACACACACATCAAGATTATTTCCATGTTTAGATTGACGATATTATCCGTGTAATTTGTGCAATGATGCCATATAAGAGAATAGTTTCACCATGAATTATCAACCTGCCTCTCTGTGTGTCTATCTGTCTCCTCTTCTGGTATAGTATGTGATCAGAAGTATCCGTGGAAACACCTTGCTGAACAGTTAGTGTGTTGATAAACAGGTAGTGTTGTGTATCATCTATAACCACATGACAGTTGGATATAACCGATGATGACTGCAGCGAAACGATTCGCTGATGAGCACACAGGTGGATCTAGTAATTCTCAACCATCAGAGCTTCTGCAGTAGTAGTCTGGACACCAACGGTTCAAATCCTCGATTGTTTCATTTTGACTTTCAGTTATCTATCATTTATGACATATTTGGTAAAATCTACAGATGGTTTTTGCGAAGAAAGTCTAGTTTTCACCTTAATTATGAATGAATGAAGAACCTAGAAGACCTGGATTTCGCGGATGATTTATGTTTGATGTCACACAAAATCGAAGACTTATAAGCGAAAACCGACAAACTGGTCGAAGAGGCTGGCAGCAAAGACAGGACCCCAGGTGAACATAGACAAGACGGAGGTTATGAAAATAACCAACCAACAACAACAACATCCACCGCCAATCACCATCAACGGGAGGGATTTGAAAGAGGTCAATTCATCCACTTATCTAGGGAGCATTGTCTCAACACTAATGGAGGAACGGACGAGGACGTCAAGTCGAGAATCGGGAAGGCGAGAAACACATTCATTCATCAACCTGAAACCAATCTGGAAATCTGAAATCGTCACTCAGCATCAACAACAAAATTCGGATTTTCAATACAAACGTCAAGTCAGTCAGTTCTTCTATACGGATCAGAAACTTGGCGGGTCACAAAGAATATTTCCAACAGCCTGTTGCAGACCTTTATCAACAACTAACTGTTTTCGCTCTATACTGAAGATCAGATGGCTGACCGGAAAGAATCACCAACGAGAAACTTTGGGAACAGACAAAACAAGAACCAATCGCTCAACAAATATGCAGGAGAAAGTGGAGATGGATTGGACATTCACTGAGGAGGCCGCTGGGTGAAATCGCGCGTCAGGCCAGTGCTCGAGTGGAACCCGAAAGGGAAGTGGCGGCGAGTGGGACGTCGGTGCAAGGGTGACATGGAGGAGATCTTGTAAAGAGGAGTTGAAACAGTATGGAATAACATGGACGCGGGTGAAAAGTACAGCAGAAGACAGAAGCAAGTGGAGACGTGTAGCTGAAGCCCTATGTTCCACTAGGAACCCAAGGGAACAATAATAATAATAAACTAATGTATTCCCCATAAAGTGTTTTGACGTTCTCACTCCTTTGCATTCTAAGGAAGACATTAGGGCTTCACACTTGAGCTCTGATCTTTTAGTAGTCACGGTGTTATTTTTACGGAGTGTAGTTGCTAGCCATACACGCCCAGCCTTCTCTCTTTCTCCGAACTTACTACCAGCTAGGCAGTAAGTTTTAGGAGTTTATCAGCCGCTAATCGAACCATTTACTACGTGAAGTATGGTTAGCCAAACATTCCTATCATTGAACCACCGATGTACCACAAGTATTTCTGAATAACCAGACACAATCGTTAAAAATCTTATTGTGAATTATTTATGATTTAAGTAAGAGGTATAGTTTTTTGGTCGGCACAACTTTTATGAGGGAATCTGTGTTCGTTAAGAAACTATGATACGCTACGGCTTTAGATAGCAGCCAACTTGATATAGTTACTGTTTACAGAGAGAGAAAGAGAGAGCGCTGGCTGAATGCGTGTTGATCAAAACTTCAAGCGTTGCTTATTACTTTACCTAAGGTGGTACAGTGGTGTGTATTACTGATAAGATTTATCAGTAGTATATATATGAAGAGATGTTCATCTGTATAAAAAACATCAAATAACAGGGATATAGATTCGATGTCAGACAAAGCAAATGATACACCACTGTGGAGATACATGGGAGGCGTGAAAGGAACACAAAGAAACACAATATGAAGGAAGGCGAGAAGTAGCACAACCAACATGGAAGATTTGTGCAAATGGTGCGTTGAAGATAAGGTGTACATAATTTCTCTGTATAGAGATACCAAGTCGCAAATAAACATTCCTTTACCAAGCCTCTCATCTTCTACCGTTACAATAGTATATGTATCTCATAGGCATAAACAGAAAGAAAAAAACAATTCACAAGGACTAGCTTACTTTTAACTGCTTTTAAGCAGGTGGCGAATTCATTTTCGAAATAGAGTAATGCTTCCTTGTGACGTCGTTCAGAAATCTGAAAGAGGACAGAAAGTAGTAGAAAAATGAAGCTAATTATTTGCAAGGTTAGAACGCTTGGTCAAAAAGAAGCAAAACAAGAATTTAAAGGCGTCATTGATTAAAATAACACCAAACATGAAAATTACAACACACCTTCAAGGACTACACGGAATTCGAGCGATTCTGTGAATTCCATCCTAATCGACTACTCAGATACTTAAAGCATCCTTTGGTTGGAGAAAGGCGGAGTTGAACACACACACACACAGGGGTAAAAAGAGCAACCATTCAACAAAAGATGTTGTTTGTTCAACACTTTACAACTGACTGACTGATTTCAACATAGAACTTTGCACAGAATTGCACCAGTTCAACTTGCCACACTCCCTCCATGTTGCACATTGAGGAAAAGAAAAGAGAGGAAGGAAAGGGATTCAAAAGTACGACAATAAGTAGTAAAATGTGAGGGTGACAGAGTGGTAAGCTTGGAAAAACATGAGGATCTAATGGACATGGGAGATCACAAAAAGAGTGAATGCATCTGCACTGTCATTGAGACATATCATCACTAGTCGCTAGTCACTGGTTCTTTTAATTCCACAGGACCTCAATCAAGAAGCCTACACCTCACTAAGTGACTCAGGCTAACTGTCAACAGCACACTCTCATTTTGTGTTTGTTCTCCGCAATCCTGTTCAGTTGGTGCCACAACTGCTCATAAGCTTCCACCTACCTCCTCCTTACACGACCTCTTCCATGTCACAATTGAACGCACAACTTGTTGTTTCCTAATCAGGTTCCGCTCAAGATCATGCCTTGTGCACAATGTCACCCAACAGTCTTCTCATAGTAATTTCCGAACCATCTCCACTTTCTTCATCACATTTGTTGAGCAATAGTTTTTTTTTTTGATTGGTTCGTTCCTTCCTGACTGGCCATCTGGTTTTCAGTACGGAGCTAATGAGTGCAGATACTGATGAAAATTTGCAGTAGCCCATTGGAAGTACTCTTTGTGACGATAACGCCAAGCTTCTGACCTGCATAAAAGAATTGACTGACTTAACATTGATATTGAAAATCCGAATTTTGTTGTTTTAATGCTGAGTGCAGGAGATTTCCAAATTGATTTCACATATCTTCATCCGTACTGTCACCTGTAGTTGTAACGACTGGTTGATTGTTGCTTTCCTTCCTTTTGAGTTGAATCTTGCTGTCACTGTTTGTCTGTCTATCTGCATTCAACATAGAACTTGGCACCAAAGTGCACCAGTTCGAGTTGCCACGTTCCAAATAGCACACAAAGGTAGACAAGAAGATGAGTGAAGAGAATCAATAGAGTTTTGACAACTATAAGAGTGAAACAGAATGAGTAATGATAGAAAGGAATATGAAAGATTACAGAGACTGAATACATCTGCACCATTGACAACGATTTTGAGCCATGTCACCTATTGTCTCCAGCCATTGATTCTTAGAGTCCCGAGGGCGGGCCCCAACCCGGAAGTCTGCATCTCCCTACCTGACTCAGTTTAACTGTCAGGGATTTCATGGATTGATGAGGCCATGTTTTTGTTTGACCACCACTTACTCTTTTCCAACCTGCACTTATATCAGCTAGTAATGCCCGTCGGGGGAGACGATGGTTAGGCGTGCGCAGCACGTGACCTAGCCATCTCAATCTATGTAACTTTATAGCCTCTTCGATTGATTTTCCCTCTTTGCCCAACATTCTACGCCTAACGTCAACATTACTTACTTTATTATACCGCCTAACGTGAGAAGGAGATCGTAAACATCTGTGGTCAAAATCAGTCAACCTTTTCGTGTCTTCAACTCGTATTGGCCATGTTTAAGAGCCATAGAGAAGGACGAAACGAACTGCTGAGCAGTACACACGTCCCTTGGTTGATAGCTGGATGTCACACCTACGCCAGAGATGATGTAAGTTAGCGAAAGCATCCCGAGCTTTTTGTATGCGTGCTGAGATTTCGTCACCAATCAATCCGTTGGTGCTGATACAACTTCCCAAATAGGTGAAGTGGTCAACATGTTCTATCACTTCACTCCCTATCACTAAGCTAGGAGTTGATGTAGTCCAGTCAGTCCTGTAGCAGCATCTTAAATTTTACAGGGGGAATCGCATGCCAAACATAAGAAGATTGCTGCTCAAGGTGTTCAGAAGACTCTGCATTTTGTCAGCGTGCTCTCCTAACAGGACTATGTCATCTACTATCATCATTCTGGAAGAGATAGGTTTCCACTGTTTAAAAGCCTTGGTTGCTGCTGGTGACATCATAATAGTCACTTCCTCAGTGTGCTCGTGATTGTCATTTGGGTAAATGGAGTAGATTACTGACTCTCCTTCAGTTAACGGTTTTCAGCGTCCACATCTATTCCACGTGCTCTCATAGATTCCAAGCACTTCTATTAAAAAAGCGAGGATTGGGAAAGCAAGACAAGCTTTCATTACTCTCAAGTCTGTGTGGAGATCAACAGTACTCCTCAGCATGAAAAATAAGATCCGGATTTCCAACTTTAGTGTGAAGTCAGTGCTACTATACGGAACAGAGAGTTGCTGCGTCACGAAGGGCACTTTGAAAAAACTACAGACTTTCATCAACTGCTGTCTTCGTTCAATACTTAACTGAAGACCAGATGGCCGGTCAGAAAAGATCAGCAACAGGGATCTCTGGCAATGAACGAACCAACCAGGAACCAATCGTGCAACAAATATGCGGGAAGAAATGGAGGTGGATTGGTCATACTCTGAGGAAACCATCAAGTGATATCACACGTCAGGCCATCGCTCGAGTGGAACCCGAATGTGAAGCTGCAAGTTGGTCGTCAGTGCAAGGGTGTGGTGACATGGAGGAGGTCATGTGAAGAGGAGATGAAAGCATGTGGGCAGATGTGGAGCCAGGTGAAAACGTTAGCGGAGGACCGAACGGAGTGGAGATGTGCGACTGAAGCCCTATGTTCCTCTAGGAAGTAAAGGAGATAATACTAGTGATAATAATAGCAGCCATGATTTTCTCATAATTTTGTCTGATATTTAACTCAGTATTACGTTTTTATGCATATTATCACGATTACACATATTTTTGAAATGTAATCAATCTATTGAACTATTGAACAACTCGATACTAGTTAAACAAAAACATCAATGTTGTCATTAACAACGAATTACTCTTAAATTATTATTGGATGCATGTACAAATAACTGTAGAGTCAGATGAGGAAGTTATCGAAAAGCATATTTTGACTCAATCCTTTTTTGTTTATGTTTTCTAAACTAATATTAAGCACATAAAGAAAACACAACAATCTACTGTAAAAAATTTTCTGAATTGAAGCGTCTAGAGTATCAATGCGAAATTATTTAAAAAATGAATAGATTTTTGCATGGAATTGACACAGTATTTCATGACACTAGCAGAATTAATTACGTAAGTAGGTGGTCTCTTTTTATTCTCTAAAAAAATTACAACAATTTATCGATGTTGATGATAATGACAGTGTGATTTAAGGTTTAAGGATTTTAATCGATGACAACTAACACTGTTAATCTCTACACTTAATAGTAATTCTTTTCTATCAATATTCACTTAATCAGGTTTATCTCAAGTTACTATTAATATAAACCTGTATAAATGCAGGTCACATGCAGGCTCCTACATAACTATATATATATATATATATATACATATGTATATATAGTTGGGTTTGTAAGGGTTAGTTTTGTTCTTACGAGTTGATCACGGATTGATACCAGTTAGAGAACCATTGAAAATCAGTATTGAAGTACTGGACAGCTGTTTCATCCTAGTGTGCGAGTCATTGGTAGTACGCACCCACAGTCAGGGTTCGAACCCAGGACCTTCCGGTTACAAGGCAAGTTGGCTCGTATACCATTCAGCCACTGGGACCCGACTCCTCAATGGCCATTCCATGAATTCTAACTTCTACCAAATCGTGACTTAGCGCCACCCCCATTAAATGTCATTGGTGGGACATCCATCCTCACACGTGACATCTAATTGGACCTCACTGGTCACGACTTCTCACTAGAACTCCAGGAAACTCCATCCTGCAGCAAGTCACTAGCGAACATCAGATTAATTTTCTATAGTTTAATTTGTAAGGGTTAGTTATGTTTTTACGAGTCGATCACGGATTGATATCAATTAGAGAACCGTTGGAAACCGTAAAAACCAATGGCTCATGAATCGGGTCCCAGAGGCTGAATGGTATACGAGCTTGCCTTGTAACCGGAAGGTCCTGGGTTCGAATCCTAGTGGGTGCGTACTGCCGACGATTCCCAAACTAGTACGAAACAGCTGTCCAGTACTCCCTGGTTTTCAATGGTTCTCTAACTGGTATCAATCCGTGATCAACTCGTAAATATATATATATATATATATATATAAGTAAACTTGAGCAACTCATCAAATTGTGGTAGGCTGGATTATGGCGAAGAGTGTGCGTGGGGAGTGAGAAGACAGGATTCCACTGTACTGAACGATAAGAAGACTCTAGAAGATCTAGATTTCGTGGATGATTTATCTCTAATGTCACACAAACTCGAAGACTTGCAGACGAATAACCGACAAACTAGTTGAAGAAGCAGTCAGAGAAGACAGGACTCCCGGTGAACATAGAAAAAACGGAGGGAACTGATGAAGATACCCATGTACCACCACCAACAACAACGAAAACCAGCACCCACTTTTATCGGTGACAACTAGTGGTGTCCGTCAAAGATTTCCATTATCCCCATTTCTATTCAACTTCATCATAGATGTACTAATGGACTTAATCCTAACTCACTTCAGAGACTCAGGGATTCACTTGCTACCAGGGAATAATCTCGTCGACTTAGAATATGCAGACGATATAGTCCTTCTAGGCGAGGACGCTGACAAAATGCAGAGTCTTCTGAACACCTTAAACTGCAATCTACGAATGTTTGGCATGCGATTGATTTGCTCCCGCCAAATGCAAGATGATGTTACAGGA